GACACATTTTATTTTCTTGGGCTCCACAATCACTGCAGATGGTGACCGCAGCCATGAAATAAGAAGACGCTTGCTCCTTGGAAGAAAAGCTATGACAAACCCAGACAGCGTATTAAAAAGCAGAGACATCACTTTGCCAACAAAGGCCCATCTAGTCAAAGCTATGATTTTTCCAGTAGTCATATATGGATGTGAGAGTTGGACCATAAAGAAGGCTGAGGATCGAAGAAATGATGCTTTCAAACTGTGGTTCTGGAGAAGACTCTTGAGAGTCCCGTGCACTGCAAAGAGATTAAACCAGTCAGTCCTAAAGAAAATCAATCCTAAATATTCATTTAGGAGCCTGATGCTGAAGCTGAAGCTCCAATACTCTGGCCACCTGACATGAAGAGCTGACTCACTGGAAAAGACCCTGACGCTGAGAAAAAGATTGATGGCAGGAAGAGAAGAGGATGACAGAGGATGAGATGGTTGGATGGCATTACCAACTCAACAGACATGAGTTTCAGCAAGTGCCGGGAGATGGTGAAGACAGGGAAGCCTGGCGTGCTGCAGTCCATGGGGCTGCGAAGAGTGAGACACGACTGGGTGACTGAACAACAAATGCTGCGGAGCATCCACAAAATAAAGAGAAAGACCAAACCCTCCAGTTCACACAGAATAGAAGCCAGAGGCCTTCCCATCGCGGCGTAGCCCCCATCCCCACCGCTGTCCTCTCCCCTCCTCTTCCTCTTACTCCCCTCCAGCCTCAGCGGCCCCTCCTCCTTTCTCTCCATCCTGCCAGACACACACCTGCCGGCACCTCCCTGCTCAGGCCCTTGCCCTGGCTTCTCCCTGCGCCTGCAGGGCTCCTCCTCTAGGTATCTGCACAGCTTCCTCCCCCACCATCTTCAGAGTCCCTGCATGAAAGCCATCTTCTCAGTGAGGCCACCTGTGAGCACCACGTATGACCGGTAACTTCCTCCAGTCCTGGGCGTGCTCCATCCTCTTGACTGCATTTTATTTGTGCCCCCACCCCCACAGGGACACATCATCACCTTCCAACAGCAGCGGCCCTCATTATCTGAACTCTCACTATGTAAACGTGTGCTGTAAATACCCGGAAACGTTTCTATCCCAAATGCATTATCTGAACTGCAAACTTGTGAACATGAACCTGTGTGCGTGGGTAACAGGATGTAGATGCAGAGCAGCTTACAAGGTCACAGCCAGCTTGGGCACTTTCAGAGCCCAGCACAGTACCAGTCTCATCTTTACTGCCCTTCAGCAAAGATTCGGCCCCTCGTGGGTCCCAGAATTTGCTTCTTCCAGGTGCCAGACACTACCAACTTGGGTCCAAATTCAAAATTATCTTCAGTATCTTTTAAAATCTGTAGAACCATATATCTTCATTTGCAGGATAGAAGCAAAACAGTTTGTGTCTGATGCTATAGTACCACTGACACTTGGGATTGGTTGGTGGCTCAGACGGTAAAGAGTCCGCCTACAATGCGGGAGACCCAGGTTTGATCCCTAGGTTGGGAAGATCCCCTGGAGAAAGGAATGACTACCCACTCCTGGAGAGGTCTATGGACAGAGGAGCCTGGCAGTCATAGTCCGTGGGGTCACAAAGAATCAGACACAACTAAGCAACCAGAACTTTCACTTTCATAGTACCATTACTTATGACACATAAAAATACCCATTAATGAGTCTTAATGTATTAAAAATTAGGTTACTAGTGTTTTAAATGCTTCTTTTTTAAATAGAGAAATTCTTGGTGGATTGTTGGGCATTCCCTGGCAGTCCAATGGTTAGGACCGTGTGTGTGTGTGTGTGTGTATACATGTATATATATACACACACATGTATATACATACATATATATATATAATTCTAATCTTCACTTGAAAACTCAAATGTCATTTATTTTACTGGTCAAAAATATTCTCAGTTGTCTCCCCTCAAAGTGACAGGCTCACACTGTTCATTTTCAAGAAACTATCTTCCAAATTCCTGAGTCTGAGTAAGTTTGTCTGTAAGCCCTTCTTTTGACATGAACAGTGTTCTGTGAAAAGGCAGATACTTCAAGTCACAGCTCAGTCGTCAGGCAGCTTCCTCCGTGAGCAGGAGCGCTATGTGCACATTTCCATTTCATCACGCAGACTATTCAAAGGGCATGTGCTCCAGGGCTGAGACAAAATAAATGCACAATTCTTACTATCCTTCTTCAAGGACATTCTTAAGCCAGCCTGACCTTTCCCCTTTTCCTAGCAGTCTATGACGGCGGACACGCGATGACCGCCGACACAATGGGGAGGCCACCCTGGTGCGAAGGGAGGACCAGCTGCTTTGTTAGAGGAAACACCGCCTGAGGCTGCCCACCCCGGCCGGGCGCCACAGCCGCCGATCGCGGGCGTTACTTTACGACAGGAGGTCCTGGTAAGGAACACAGAACTAACAGGCCGCCACCCACCGGAAGAATCTGCGAAAGGTCAAAAGGAGACACCAGACCGTATGTCACACCAACGTCCCTGGGTTCCCCTCGCTGGCGTCCATCTTGGCTGAGCAATGCAGGCGCCCCCAGGAAGCACCCTGGCCAGAGACAGCCTGGAAACTCATCCCATCACCATAAAACCCGACGCTGCGCCCCGCGTGGCAGAGCGGTCCTCCTGGGTTCCCTTACCCTGCTGCTCTCCGCCCAGGCGTCTCTTCCCAATCAAGTCCCCTGCTTTTTCAGCACGTGTATCTCCTCGGACAATCCATTTCCAACTGTTAGACAAGAGCCTGCTCTCGGTCCCAGGAGGAGGTCCCACTTCCTGCAACAGCTTCATCAACCACTGCGCTTGTAACTTCAGTGCAAATGTCAACAAGGTGGAAAGGCCAAGTCAAGTCACAGCACTATCATGAAAACAGGTTTGACCTCCTGTATCCTGTGAGGGGTCTTGGGGAGCCCAGGCTCTGCAGACCCTATTTTGAGGATAGCTGCTCATCAGCAGGTAAAGGTCCTTAAAGACAAGAGTTTGGGTCTGTTTTGTTCGCTGCTCAATCTCCTGTGCCTAGAACGACACTTAGCCTATAACAGGTGCTCCATAAATATTTATTAGATGAATGTGTAAATGAATAAATAAGTGACTGGATAAATGAATGTATTAACATCTGTAATTACTTTCAGCTGCTTGGAAGTCGAGCAGAAAATTTCGGATATTTGTAGTTTTTGGGTATAATTTAAAATTTTACAGAATGTTAAATATTTGATTACGAAAGAAAAGAAATTATTTCTTTTGGCAAAGGCATTTAACTGCAGGGAAGGCAAAAACAGCAGGGAACTTTCCAAACCACACCAACAGTGTTTGCACTGGAAAGCACTGGCTTTTAGCAAGGAAATAATTCCTGAAAACTGGAACGCTGCCTGTGACCTAGAAACGAGTACGAAATAGGGAAAGGAGGAAAAGACACCACAAGTTTCCACTTGCCCGTCACGGCCCCTCATTTGCTTTTTCACCTCAGGGTGTCTGGAAATGTCTCACAGAATTGGGAGGAATTAACCCTGGTGGCTTAGTTGGTAAAGAATCTGCCAGCCAATGCAGGAGAGCTGGGTTAAAAATCCCTGGGTCTGGGAAGATCCCTTGGAGAAGGAAATGGCAACCCACTCCAGTATTCTTGCCTGGAGAATTCCATGGACAGAGGAGCCTGGTGGGCCACGGTTCATGGGGCTGCAAGAGTTGGACACACCTTAGTGACTAAAACCACCATGGACCGAGATGAACAGGGAGTTTCAGTGTAAGTGGCACACAGAAGTCACTGGGAGTAATTAAAATGTTTCAAGTTTTTTTTTTTTTTAATGTGTCTTTATCCATGTAGCCACGCCAGGTCTTAGCTGCCACACTGGGGGTCTTCAGTTGGGGCATGTGAACTTTAGTTGTGGCAGGTGGGATCCAGCTCCCTGACCTGGGCCTCCTGCATTGGGAGAACAGTCTTAGCGCTACACTGAACCACCAGGGAAGTCCCAAAATGTTTCAGGTCTCGAGGACTAAATTACCATAATGTATTCATCTCAGAAAGAGAACTGAGGACTTCAGTGTATGGTTCATGTACTACGAAAATGCTACAGACGTGGGTTTTAATGAAGCCAAAGAAACTGTTGCATAACAGGTGAGCCAGTAACCAAACATCCTGGTTAGTAGGGAGTGGCCACACAGCTCCCTATTTCTCCAAGAAACGAAACTCCATGAATCACAAATACACTCTTCTTAAGCCGAAGAACTCCATCATTTCATGGATCCAGAGGCTCTTCAGACTCTCAGTAAGGTAGAGGGACCCGTCACTAAAAAGGCATCGGTTAAGGAAGGTCCTGTGTTGCAGTTTAATGGCACCCATGTGATGGCTCTCTGCTTTCTACTTCTGCCACTTGGAAATCACCTGGCAACAAACAGACCCCTTGACCTTTCTGGAGTTCGGTTTCTCTTGAAACTGAAATTCCAGAACGCTTAGAGTATACATCTTGGTGAAATATTTTGGGTCCCTTGGAGATATTGCGTGAGTTCAAGGAATTAAATGTGGGGATTACACAGAAGATGAAATATCCCAGTAAATTTTAAACTGTCAAGCCTGAAATAATAACCTATAAATTTCTTTCACCCTGTGGAAAACCACCAAAGCTGTCTCCCCAACCCATATATCTGCTTATATCCAGAAATCCCAGGAATAAGACTGAAACCTACACTTGCCATCCTAGTAATTTCTGAATTTCTTGATCTTCATGCTAATCCTGTTAATAGGCAGGGCAGGGAGAGCCACTTTTATCCTTCAGACAAAGAAACTGAGACCTAAAGAGACTGAGTGCTTTAACTAAGAGGCAGAACTGGGATTCAGTATTACGTGAGCTGGACCACCTTCCCAGAGTTGCATCTTCTTTGCTGAGTGAAGCTGGTCTCCTACCAGCATCTCTGAAGCCCTGACAGTGGGCACAAGGTTACCAGCTTCCATGGGCCCTGAGCAAACAATCATGCTCAGCTCACCTGCAGCTTCACAGCGATGACCACTGAGTTAAGATCTTTGTCCATTTCTTTTAGCATGACAAGTTTCTTCAGGGTCAAGCTGAACAGCCTAGAAAAATTTAGAGAAAGAAGATCCAGTCAAAGGTAAGGAACTTATGAGAAAAGAGACACACCATCTGTTGTGGAAATGCTGCTCTACCTAGAGGAAGAAACTCAGAATGCTCTTTACTGGGTCCATCGTCAGTAAAAGAGCACTCTTCTTATTTAACTTTTGTGCTTGCTCAGTGTCAAAAGGTATATTGTTCTGTGAACTTTTGTGGGTGTCCCTTTATCTCCGGCAAAGACCAACATGCCTTTTCACTCCTGATATGTAGAAGCAGTTTCAGTGGGAGTGGGGAGTAGGCCGGGGTTGGGGTCATCAATGTTTACTTTGCTTGCCCAGCTCCTCCTCTACCTTTCAGTCTAATCACCCGAGACACTTACAGATGCAAATCTTTATCAACAAGGAGATGATCCACACAAACAGAACAGAAGCCTTTTGGCAGGAAACGCTTTCAAAGACCACTGGTTCGATTTCAGCCAAACTTCACATCAAACATAGAGAACCTCTTCAGGGCCACGATGAGGACATACCCCTTAATTAAAAGCGACAGGGCTGTCCCTCACTCTGGAGTCTCAGCATCTCTACTCTGACTCGACCTTGGCCTCCAAGGCAGGACGACCCTGGACTTCTAGGGGGAGCCAGGAGGGAAACCTCAGATGCTGCCTCTCAGCTCCTGGGCTGAGTGGTTCATGTCCTTTTCCTCTCATCGCTGGAGGACCGAGGGGCACACGTGGGATGCTGCTAACCCGAGTCATGTCCTGAGGCTCCCGACTCGGTCCTGCGCTCATTTTTCCCTTGATTCCCAGTTTGTCTCATCTTTGTGCTCCCTCCTCATGCTCTAAGCTCCAGTCGCCCTGAAATCACCTCCGCTCCTCAGGTGCCCAGACTCGCTCACCTCTGGGCCTTCTACCAAAGGGCAGGGCACACGACGGCCACTCGGCAAATATTTGTTAATGAAGTTTAACAACTTCCTAACAGGGCCTCTAGGGAAAACCAGGTAAACAAGAATATGTGTTGAAGAGATTCATGAAAAAAAAAAGTGGAACAAATCCAGATCAACAGAACTCAATTCACCCTTGCCCCAAACACTTGGCTAAGATCTGGTAACTTCTGAAGGGAGCAAATAAATCTCTTTCTTTCCTTTTGCTTTGAGTCAGAATCAAAATCAACTAAAAGAAAGTCTATTAGGTCTTTTCATATATATTATTTCACCCAGACTTCAAAAACATGACTCCGTGTGTGACTCTGTGTGTGTGAAAGGGGTGGGGTGGGTGGGTGGGGAAGGTTCACTGCTGTACCCATAGAAGAGGAAGCAGATTCTAAACAGTCATGACTCAGCTAAATGCCCACAGCCAGTAAGCGACAGGACTGTATTCTAAACTCCAGTCTCCTCGTGGTAAGCAAATAACATCCCCTAATCCTCAGAACCTGGAAATCTTTTTCATAGCAAAAGGGACTCCAAAGATGGTGTTCAGGATGCTGAGGTGGGGAGGCGATTCTCGATTGTCTGGATGGGTCACTAGACTTATAAGTCTTTCTAAGTGGGAGACAGGCAGGCCGAAGTCAAAGAATGAGATATGACCACAGAAGCAGAAGTCAGAGTGATGTGTGTCTGGCTCTGAAGATGGAAAAACCCCAGGGTTCGGGGCCATGGAATGTAGGTGGCCTCTAGATGCTGGAAAAGCAAGAAAACCGATGCTCCCTGGAGCCTCCAGAAGCAATGCAGCCATGCCACCACCTTGAATTTGGCCCAGTGAAATCCATTTTGGACTTTTGATCTCCAGAATCATGAAAATAAATGTGGGTTTTGTTTTAAGTCACCATGTCCGTGGTCTTTTGTTACAGCAGCTGTTGGCCTCGCCCCTGAGGCCTCCCTGACACAGCTGCCTGCTCTGTCACTGACTGGAGCTCCTGCACTTGTGCTCCGGAAACACGCTCAGGTCTGTTAAGTAGGAATCACTGCAAGTTCCTGCTTGCCCCCCGCCCCCTGCCCCATCAATGACTACCCGCAGCATCATTTGTTTCTCCTTTCCCTTCACAGTAGAAATGTGCTGGCCCAAAGGAACTCTGGTGCTGTCAACACCCAAGGGATTGCTATACTTCACATAGTTGATGATTAAGAAATGTAACTAACTACACTGTTTAGCTGATTTCTAAGCCTCGCTGGAAAGGAAAGGGAACACGACAAGGAAAGGAAAGAGAAAGGATGAACAACATGGAAGAGACTGGATATCCCCAATTTTGTTCCTCATCTAAGGCTGTTAATTACGAACGCTTCTGATAAGTTATGTTTTTGTTTGTTTCAAAGCAGGGGCTTCCCTGGTGGCTCAGATGGTAAAGAATCCACCTGCCAATGCAGGAGACCCGGGTTCCAGCTCTGGGATGGGCAGATCCCCTGGAGAAGGGAATGGCTCCCCACTTGAGTATTCTTGCCTGGGAAATCCCATGGACAGAGGAGCCTGGCGGGCTACAGTCCATGGGGTTGCAAAGAGTCAGACATAACTGAGTCACTAACACTTCCGCTTTCAAAGCACCTACAAACGGATGCACTGGTACTAAATAAACTCACTGTAAGAAGAGCCACAGGAGGAAACTGGGAACATGTGTGTTTCTGTCTCTGCTTGCCATCCTTCACTCTCTCACACATTCCACACATGAGTGAGCATCTCCTGAACACCAGGCACTGTGATGGCGGGAGCTGGGAGGATGTGGTCCACAGCCTCGTGAAGACAGCCCGGTAGGGAACACAAGCAATGACTGACACGACACTCCTGTCCTCAGCAATTTTATGCCCCAGAAGACTCCGGACCATCTCTCCTTTTCACACAACATATAAAACACTGCAGGCAATATGGTGGAATCCTTTTCAGGAAGGAAAAGCACACTACAGACCAATAAATATTTGGTGAATCAATGAACAAACCTGTATGCCACAGCACCTGATGTTAACAAGAAAGCCAAGAATGATTCAGCCCCTTAGATAACAAAACATTGATTAATGGTAAGACTGGATGTGTTTAATGTTTGCTCAGAAACTAGACACACCACATAGGATTTTCCATACTATTGGCAGTGAGTTCAATAGGTCTTTTTAGTTGTTTGTTTTTAGTGGTATCACTCAAGGGGATGTGGGGACGTAAATGTATTCCAGTTCTTCATAGCGTTAAGAAAAATGTCTGTTAACTCATTAAGCATCTGCATGTGTGCATGCTCAGTCAGTCATGTCCAACTCTTTTGTGACCCCATGGACTAGAGCCTGCCAGGCTCCTCTGTCCACAGGATTTCCCCCGGCAAGAGTACTGGAGTGGGTTGCTATTTCCTCCTCCAGGAGATCTTCCCCACCTAGGGAATTAAATCAACGTCTCCTCCATCTCCTGCATTGACAGGCGGATTCTTTACCACTGAGCCATCTGGAAAATCCCCATTCTCATGTAAGTCTTACAATAATTCTAAGATGTGGGTACTATATCCACCGTACAGACAAGGATGTCGAGAAGGATTAAGAAACTTGCCCAAGGTCACACAACAAAGTGGTTGAGCCAAGACGCAAACTTAAGTTTATCTTAGTCCAGAAGTCAATTAAAACCAGTACAAGGCACTTATTTGACAATCAGAAGAAATTATTTTAATTACAAGTAAATATTTTCAACATATATCTTAACAGAAAAACTGATTAAATAAGACACATTTCTCCTTAAACCCACACTCACACAATACTGACTGAAACAGCCGCAGATGGAGTTCTGAGGATGACAGCCTGGCAGGACATTCTGACTGAAGGTGTCTCAACAAACACAAGACTGAGTTAGATGCTGATCGTAGGGTTTTCTGTTAGCCTATGTTTTTATTGGTTGGACACTTCTTATGCAGTAAGGCCTTCCCCGATCATACTCCTGCTTTCATCCATTTTTCTACATCAGTAAAGATTTGGCTCTTACTCTGTTAGAAATGGGGAGCCACTCACTGGCTTTAGGTGAGAGAGACATAGGCTCTTCAATAGGCTTCTTTTAGCTGTTCTACTAGGGCAGAATGAAGGGAAGAAAAGGAAAAGGGGAAAAAGTTGAGAGTGAGGAAGCAACTACAGTAGTGCAAAACTACAGATGACAGATGTCTGGAGCCTGGGAGCAGAGGGGGTAGTGAAAAACGGTTTGAATCCTGGATATATCGCTGAACACACAGGGGTTTGGATGAGAACATTTGGAAATATGCACAGGAAGATGAAGTCAGAGGAACACTGATGGCATAATCTCTGCTTGTGAGCAGTTCTTGGGAGGATGGGGATTAAGTATATCCAAGAGTTCGCCAATAAATGTAACAGTGCATACATAATACAAGTGCTAAATTACACAAAAGGAGATCATGAGTAATTGAGCGACAGTTTCAGTAAGGATATGTTATCTGAGCCCAAGTAAATTCTCTCCAGAAATTGCTTTCTTTTAGATCCTATTGGACTAAATCTGAAAGAAGAAAGAAGAAAGCTTGACAACCAGGTAGCAAAGGGAACAAAAATACATTAAGAATCTTTAAAAACTTTCTAAATTATTCTAGTTTGTACTCTGCTGTAAGATAAAACAGAAACCACCTTAAGTGATATCTACAAATGATCCCCAGTCTGCATTTAACAGCTGTTTCAAACTTATTCCCAAGCAAACTAGAACTGGACCGGCTCAGCAGGAGAGAAACAGTTTCATACTCCATCTCAGCCCCCATCTCCTTCCTGACAGGCCATCAGCGAACAGTGCAGTGGCCATGTTTTGGACAGAAAAAGGGAGAAGAAAGGAGAAACAGAGATCTGAAAATCCTGTCTCTGGATCAAACGGACGGTCCTTGTGGGACCAGAGCAGATAATTGCTGGACTAGACGCCAAGTGGCCTGGGTTACTCTTTTGTCCCAAGAAATGGCTGCGTCACACGAGCAAGCCTTGCCTCTCCCCGCTGCAGATCTTTAATCCTAAAATGAGAAGAGCAAGCTCTGCCTTACCCCCTCCAACCCGTTTATAAAGATAA